ATGAGAATTGGCTCCAAACAACGCTGGCAGCTTTTTTTTGTTGAAGTCCTGGCAGCGCGGGCTGCAGCCCGGGCTAATAGGGTATTATCCACGGGGGCCCAGGTTCCCAGCACCGATTGTGTCGTGTTTATGCCTCAGTGAGTGTCATGCACGCTTCGGCCAACAGTGTGCGCTCTCCCTCCCTGTGTGTCCTCAGTGCTGACATCCTTGTCAAACAATTTTTCGGAAACATAACAACAATAAAAAAAATCAAAAAAATCAGCACAGTCGAACGGAACAACAGGACGCCCGACTGACTGTGTCTGACACCACCCCCTGCAGCCTACGTGGTGCACTGCACAGGGGGCGCACCATTTTGTAGTGGTGTATAAATGTGGAAGTTGTCCGCTGTGTGGGCTGATAAATGTATCCCACAATGCACCACAACATCTACTCTACATCTGACGTGCACTACCCGATCAATATATCCCATTATGCATTGAGTAAGTACAATTGTGGCGTCATTAAGGCTACGCTAACACCGCTACGAACCGCAGCCTCTCTTCGTCTTTGGTTTTTATCTGCAGATTTAAACCTATTAAGGGGTATTTCTGCCCCCTGCTGGTAAATATTTTCCTGTTTCCTGTTCTGATTTTCCAGCGACACCCCAGACCTGGTCCCAGCTCCCTGGGGGACTGGCCCTCACTGGACTCCAGTGTTTTATCCACCTGTGACAAACCCACCAGGGACAGTGGGGGGGGCAGCGCCAGGCCGAGAGCCTGGAGCGTCCGCACCTTCCAGGACTTCCTGCCCCCGCTGCCCCAGCTGCATAAGAGGTGGTGCAGCTGGAACTCCAGCAGTCCCTTCACCAAACTGGTGGACAGCGTCAGTACTTCTTCTAGTTCTTGGTCTCAGTCCAGGGTCTTGGTCTCGGTCCAGGTTCTTGTTCTCAGACCAGGTTCTTGGTCTCGGTCCAGGTTCTTGCTCTCAGACTAGGTTCTTGGTCTCAGACTAGGTTCATGGCCTCAGTCCAGGTTCCTGGTCTCAGTCCAGGGTCTTGGTCTCGGTCCAGGTTCTTGGTATCGGACCAGGTTCTTGGTCTCAGACCAGGTTCTTGGTCTCGGTCCAGGTTCTTGGTCTCGGACTAGGTTCTTGGTCTCAGACTAGGTTCATGGTCTCAGTCCAGGGTCTTGGTCTCGGTCCAGGGTCTTGGTCTCGGTCCAGGGTCTTGGTCTCGGTCCAGGGTCTTGGTCTCGGTCCAGGTTCTTGGTCGCGGTCCAGGTTCTTGGTATCGGACCAGGTTCTTGGTCTCGGTCCAGGGTCTTGGTCTCGGTCCAGGTTCTTGCTCTCAGACTAGGTTCTGGGTCTCAGACCAGGTTCCTGGTCTCAGTCCAGGGTCTTGGTCTCGGTCCAGGTTCTTGTTCTCAGACCAGGTTCTTGGTCTCAGTCTAGGTTCTTGGTCTCAGTCTAGGTTCTTGGGCTCAGACCAGGTTCTTGGTCTCAGACTAGGTTCTTGGTCTCAGACTAGGTTCATGGCCTCAGTCCAGGTTCCTGGTCTCAGTCCAGGGTCTTGGTCTCGGTCCAGGGTCTTGGTCTCGGTCCAGGTTCTTGTTCTCAGACCAGGTTCCTGGTCTCAGTCCAGGGTCTTGGTCTCGGTCCCAGGTTCTCATTCACTCTTCATCTTTCCAGGCTCCGCCCACCTTGACACATGAGTCCAGGGCTGCTGACAGCAGGAGGGTCTTCTCCGACGTTCACCTCGAAGCCAAAGCGGACGACAGCGCCCTCTCTGACTCGACCATCAGCAACGCCTCCTACCCACTCACGCAGGCGGCGCAGCAGCAGCGGCGACTCAACTCCACCAGCAACCTGCTACGCTCACGCTTCCCAGGACCCAGCTGTGGGCTGCTCTCCGGGACCGCCACCCACAGCTTGGTCCCCGCACTTCCCAAATCCCAGGGTCCGAGTTCAGAGTCCACTTCAGGTCCCTCTCCCAGCACCAAGGTTCAGATGGAAAGTCGAAAGATTGATTTCCCGGGGGAGGGTGACCACGTCAGCGTGCCGGTGTTCGTCATCTCAGAGGAGGACGACCGACTCCCCCTGGTGTCGGCCGAGCACCTGGACCAGAACTCGGCTCCTGCTGTGCTGAACGGACTGGCGAGGGAAAAACACGAGGAGGAGCAAGGCCCCGTCCACCAGAGGGCCCGGCTGGAGTGGAGGCCGAGGGGGAGCCAGGTGAGGGGCGGGGTCTGCCCGCTGTCTGCCCACATGTTTTAATCTGACCACCACCAGGGGGCAGTGTTCTGTTTGAGGAGAGACTCTGGACATAGATCCATACAAGAACTCTCAGAGACTTTTCACACCGGGGTAGTACCACGAGGGGTGGGGGGAAGTGCGGGGACAGAACCACTGGTCCAAACAGCTGCTGGGCTGAAGGAGTGAACAGAGAAGAAGAAGAAAACGTTGATCAGTGATTGGCCGGGACGGAGATAAATAAATCTCTGCACCGCTCCACGCCGTCCACCAAACATTTTTAACTTTAAATCTTTTTTTCTTCCACTTTGTTTTGTTTTGTTTTACCCAGAATGCACCACATTCCGCTCTTTGGTTTCCTGTGGAGTCTGCAGTCTGCAAACTGTGGTTTAACTCCGGTTAAAGTGAACATCAGCGCCACCTTGTGTTTGGTTTGTCACCTTTGAACTAAAGTTTCCTTGAGTTGTGAATGTTTGGAGAACACGGTGTGAAAAGGTCACGTGAATGGATCCAGGTGTCGGTGTTGCTGTAGTGAATAGTGAAAAAAAAAAAACTTTTTGTAAAAACTCTTGTCCAGATTCTGTGGTGGACGGAGGTTTGTTTACGTCCAGATGGACGTCTTCCTGTCTGTGTTTTGAAATGTGCCTTTAAATAAACTGCATTATTATCACTGATGTCTGAAGCAGTCAGTCGGCCTGTTGGTCGGTCAGTCAGTGGGTTGGTCAGTCAGTCGGTCGGTCGGTCAGTCAGTTGGCCAGTCAGTCAGTCGGTCTGTCAGTCGGTCGGTTAGTCAGTCGGTCGGTCAGTCAGTAGGTTGGTCGGCCTGTCAGTCAGTAGGTTGGTTGGTCGGTCGCTTAGTCAGTCAGTTGCTCAGTTAGTCAGTCAGGCGGCGGTATGTCATTCAGTCGGTTGGTCAGTCAGTAGGTCGGTCGGTCAGTCAGTTGGCCAGTCAGTCAGTCTGTCTGTCAGTCGGTCGGTCAGTCAGTTGGTCAGTCAGTTGGTTGGTCAGTCGGTTAGTCTGTCGGTTGCTTAGTCGGTCGCTTAGTCAGTCAGTTGGTCAGTTGGTCAGTCAGTCAGTTGGTCGGTTAGTCAGTCAGTTGGTCGCTTAGTCAGTCATTCTGTTACTTAGTCGGTCGGTCAGTCAGTAGGTTGGTTGGTCTGTCGGTTGGTCGGTCAGTCGCTTAGTCAGTCGGTCGGTCAGTCAGTCATTAGGTCGGTCGGTCGGTCAGTCAGTCATTAGGTCGGTTGGTCGGTCGGCCGGTCGGTCAGTCAGTCAGTCAGTTGGTCAGTCAGTCAGTCAGAAAAAAACCCAACATCTCAACATCATTTAACTGACGACTGTAGCTGTGTCACTGGTGGCGGACCAGCAGATCAAAGGTGACCAGCAGGTCAAAGGTGACCACTTCCTGTCCTGACACCGTCGTCCCACCAGGGTGTGGAGTCAGAGCAGCTCTGGTCACAAAGCCTCTTTAAAAAAGAAAAAAACGACCCATGAACGGAGCGTTTGAAGCTGCCATTGGCTTATGGTCCCCAGAGAGGAATAATCAAACCGCGGCCTCTCTCACCGTCGGGG